GACTCACCAATACAAAGTCCTCGAAGTGTCCACTGTTTGTTACCAAGCAAATTTTTAAAAAGTCAGATCTATCTAAGACAAAATTGGAGCTAAATGATGGTACCATGATGTAAAATCAATCATAAATCCCTTACATTCTTTGCAATGAATAGCACAACGATCAGAGCTACACCAAGACAGCCAGCAGCGATTCTTGCTGTAAGAAGATTTGTGGAGGCAAGCACCAAAAGCATTCCCCAGAATGAAGAGCCGAGATCTAAATGTGTAAGATGCATTGGATGTGTGAGTGCCCAAACGATATGATAAGATGAAGCTCTAAATAAGCAGATCAAGAAGTAAAAGGTGAACGTGAAGCATAACATGAAAGCAAGAATCCTCAGATAGGCTTGATTGATCAAGGAGCAGGAAAAGTAAAATACATGGCATTAAATAGAAACATTAGACAGGAAATTACATCCAGCAGGTAAGATCAGCCAATATGCACCGCCACGCGTTCGTGTCAAACCTCCCTCATTTGCATGAACCTCAATTCCCTCCACCTAGAGATTAGCATAGAACAAGCAATCATAATCATTAATCAGGAATTGACCTGAAGTACCTTTGATCGATAATTTCTCTTGAGTTTATAATTTCTGAGTAACATGGAATTGTAATACGTAGTAGAAAATTTAAAACAAATTCCAATGTATAGTTCAGCATAATCTTATTAAACCTGGGTCAAAATTCAGTCAGAATACTGTCTATTAATTACGTGGGATGGAAGCTAAAATCTAAGCATTAAGCTGCTTAAGCACAAAGACACAGGTGAATTATTATGAAAATTTTAAAATGTCATGGTCCAAAATACGGCAGCAATTGTTTGAACTGCATAGATTACAGTTGGTGCAAATGAACTGCAGATGAATAGACACATAAACAAGGTAACACGCCATACCATTAGCCCCTAATCGAATGCCACCCAATTCCTAGGAGACAGATATCTTTACCTGTATAACTAAAAATTTTACTCTGTAGCTTGTAGGTTGTAGCTTTACCCTTATGGCTCTACTGTTCCCAACAAGAATCTTGATCTAGAAGATGGTTGACTGACGTCCTACTTCACTAAGAACTTGGAGACCTACTTGTCATTATGCTATGATCAACCTAAGTATTTGAACAAAGTTATTCATAAGCAAATGTATCAATTTCTATTTGCAATGCTCTGATGTGTTTGACTTGTACATTCCACTCAATATCCTCTCCACCTTCCCAAGGCCGCTTTTACGAAAAACGCAACCATAAACAGGTTAATTAACATTTTTTCTTAAAAGTGCATACTGTTCAGTCTGTAATATAATTTCAAACACTGTAATACAATATTGCCTTAGGAGTTCTGTTTGTTGAATGTTGCTGAATCTCATATCTTAACTTCACACTATCTACTCGTGCTAGGAGCCTAGGAAGTTCTCTAAGATCTGTGTAGGTAAGCTAGAGCCATGGAGACTTCAGTTTAAGCTTGTTTTATGTTCATTATAACAATATATACAGTTAAATGTTGGGCTGGCTTGTTCTCTAGAGTTGAAACAAATCGGACTTGATATTGACGTATTCAAGTGTATGGAACTTGGCTCGTTTTCATTTCATGAAAATTTTAATGCCTCAGGAATAGAGAGGAGGAGGAGAGGGGGGGGGGGGGGGGAAGAGATGTGCCTCCTAAAAAGATGGTTTGCAACATTTACAATTTTTGCACCCTATATTCTGATTGTTTTAAGGACACTCCTGATCCATTTCATGAACTTGACCTAATGAACTGATTGTCTAATTCATAAGAAATGGCTCCAGACATTACTTTCTACGATTTGCTCTTTGCAATGCAAAATTAATTAACTAATCTGAGAAATAATTTGTAAATTTCGAAAAAAATGGTCTTCAGTCAATTCACCTTTCTACATACCAGAAGGGGGGGACAGGCATTGGAGGAGGTGTAGGGGCTTAGCCAAGTGTCACGGTTATCCTGTCTATTCTCTATAGCTAAACAAAACTTGTGAATAAAGTTGCAAAAAGAAAGCAAGAAATAACTTACCGAACCACAAGTAAGTAAACATGCTATAGCATGACTGACTTCATGCAGAAAGACGGTAATGAGCTTAAATGGTGTCAGCAAAAATGTCCTCCATAGCTGTCAATCAAGAGAGAACTTATGTCACTCAGCAGATTAATCAAGTAAGTCATGAAAATCAACTAACACGTCGAGTATAATAAGATCATACAAGTCTAAACAATAAAGATTAAAAATATTCAAGCAGTTATATTGTTCAACTATCCTAGCAAACTTTCAGGTAGTTCAACACTTCAGCTAAAACATGTTGACCTTAGCTACATTACTGCCCCAATGATACTAATTACAAAATCATCTGCGAAGAATGCCCGTGCTCAATTTCATGTTTATAGCCATTTGAGCAATGTTGGCAATTTTGGCATCACTACTCATTATAAGCCATTGAGTTCATATCAGTAATTGAAAATATTAGAAGAAACCCTAATGCAGAATGTGAGTAAATAAGCACATACTAAAACTATGACTAATTCTCATAGTAATTGAGTATCATCAACACTCAAATTACAAACTTAACAACTTAAATTTGCTGTAAATCAAACTTTACTCTACCATGCATTATCAAGTAATTCCCCTAAGCTGCAAGCTGAAAGTGCAAAATTGATCCAAAATCTATTATATTACCATAATTCTATGACATCAAATAGTTCTTCTACAATAATCAAGAGTAAATTCAAGTGGATAACTAGTAAAATTAGGATCCTGTTAACCCATAAAAACCCAGAAAATACATTACTGATAAAACCCAAGATTCAAAGTTGCATATAAATGTACAATCAAAATAGATCAAAGGGAAAGTTATAAACTTTATTTTCTGGGTTTCATGAAAAATTATGAAGAAAATTAAAGGGCATAAATCATCAAGAAATTAAAGGGCATCAGTAAAAAGAAACAAACCGCAAGAATAACAACTGTGAAGATGCCAATGGTGATCATAAAATTTCTTTGATCATGATTACAGCAACCCTTCAGCTCCCAATTTGGTTGATTCATCTTTCTTTCTCTACAACTTTATCTCTCTAAAACTTCAAAAAAATTAGCAAAAAGGAAGAAAAAGCTTTAAACTTTCCTTTCTTCTTGCTTTGTGTTTGGTGGAAAAGGTCAAACCCAGAAAGGCCAATTACGTTTCAGAATTTTTTTTGAATTTGAATTTAATGTTTTTAATTAATTAATCTGGAAGAAACAAAAAAATAAGACAGTGGATGAATCAAATTTGCAGTTACAGAATTTGTTTAGTTGTTGAATTTGACCTGTTATTAACCGCGTCAGGTACCAACTTCTCAAGAAAGGTAGCCTAGTTGCCTAGTTGGCTCTTTCTGTATGAAACTCATTGAATTTACGAGTATTAATTTGGGCTTTAAAATTCCAAAATGTCATTCAGTGTCAATTCTTTCAAATGATATTCAATTAATGTATTCACATGATTTCCCTTGTTCATAATTTAATCGTTCCTAGTTTGATTTTTTTTTTTTTTTATAAATAATAACACATGAATGAGTTGGTCATGTCGATAAAATATTCTTGGATTTGAAAATGCTCATCAGAGGCTAAATGAAATATTTTATTTCATGAAATTGAACCATTTTTTTTGAGATTCTCGATGTCCATATATCAAGCAATGATGAAGGATGCATCCAAAAGTCATAAAACTTATTTTTTGGAATCATAAACGTCTATTAATCAGTCACAAAAAAGGTTCATGTTGGTATTCAAAGTGACGGCAAATTTATCTATAATGAGCTATATTGATAGGTAAGGATCAAAGTGGATTTTCTTAAACACTCAAGTTGTCTTTGGGAGCTTATAAGGTTCTGAATTGATGAGGCACCTAGAATGTTGATATGGTGATGAAGGTAATGAGGCCCCAAGCCCCCAAGATAAGAGTCTTGTTTCACCTACTAAAAAAAGTGTCCATAGATATGCATATGATATTATGATTGATGATTATAACAAATTTGACAATGATTGTTACTAGAACATTAGATTTGTAAATCAAGTGCAACTCCAACCATTTAATATTGCTGGCCACGCCTATTATTGCACAAAGTTATCCACAAGTATTGTAAAGACTTGTGACTCATACTCGTAATAAAGTTCAAGTCTAGCCAATTTCTCGCTATTGCACAAGTTCTCTCTACATGAATCATAAAATAACATGTTGTAATCATTTTTGTTATTTTATATATTACACGAGCTTAAAGGATATATAATATACGCCTACAAATGAAAAGGTTATTTTGAGAACCTAAACAATAATCTTTATATGGTTTATAAAACAAAACAATAACAAGGCTAATATGGATGTTGTTTTATAGTAATCGGATAAAGATTATGATATAACGCAAGATCTATCACTATCGACAACAACTTTACACTTGTGCTCGAACGTATAACATTTTGAGTTTTTCTTGAATCTCATACTCTTCCATGAAGATCGCAACTTTACTTTCACAAAAACTACATAGAATCTCACCACTTTTCCCTCTTATCAGATAATGAAAATGTGGCAAATAATTAGGGACTGGAGATTTTTGGTGAGATGATCAAATGAGCGAATAGACACTTGTGGGTACTTCATTTTGTCGAAATCATGGGCCATTAAGAAAGTGGGCCAAATGGCCAACAGGTGGACATTGGTCTTTAGGAGAAGTCCATTACCCTAATTGGGCCCTACATCATGAGGCATGTTCGGGCAATTATATAAAGCTATATAGAGAATAACAGTCGGATAATAAAGTTTCCCTTTTCTTTCATTCTTTCTTTTTTAAAAAAAAAATAATAATAATAATAATAAAACTTGCAAAATTACATACAAATTCATGCAAAGAAATCATATGATTATTACCATGTAATCTGGCACAAATTAGTATATAAACTTGAACTGTTCGTTTAACATTATGTACAACCTATATATATATCAAGGAATCAAAACAGAAAATTAAGTATAATGCACAATTAGACTTGCGTGAATTCTAGTGCGTTGGTATCTGGATCTCTAGTGAAAATTGCAGGTCTTCCAGATCGACTGAGGGTATATGGTATACCTGCCAGATTGAATACTTACAATTAGTAAAATTATTTCCCTTGATCATGGCAGAGGCTAAAACTCTAAAATATTATTTAAGCCGTTCATTCCTGAACCGATAGGGAAAATATATATCTACCTGCTCGGTCAAGGATATCCTTAAGCTTAGACACATCCCGAATGGCAATACAAGTATGACGATCACGACCACCATGTTCAGGCCTCCCAGTTGATGGGTCAGGATTTGGAAGCTCCATCAAATGAATCATCTCCGAGCCAACCCACAACCATGCACCCCTATAGGGAAGCTTGTCATGTGGCCTTGCCTCATTTATCTCCAGACCTGCCAAGATACGGGTGTATTAAAGCATTGAAATGAAAATGAGACATAAAAAAATGTGTCCTTGCAAACATAGCAATATACATACCTAGTATGTTCTGGTAAAAATCAAGTGATCTTTCAAGGTTTTCACAAAGAATGCCAACATGGTGCATACCAACTACTCCAAAATCTGTATCAATAGCTCCAACTCAGTACAGATGAGGCAACACCAATAAAGAAAACTGTTTAAGATACTACAGCAAACAAGAGGCGATTCGATTTGATTTACAAAGCGCCTCATCTGTTTATGACACAGTTTGAAGCAAAGGAAATTATTTGTTGATAGACAAACAAAGTTTTGAAAGAAATGAGAATGGGAAGTGCCAATTCGCTTCCTCATCACCCAAAGGGAAAAAGAATAACAAAGAAAAATCAAGCTCGACAATTCCATAATATTGAGGTTTAACAGGCTAGAGCTATCATGAACTTTACTGAATAAGTAACCGCAAAATTCAAACCTATGGTTTTATTCTCTATACTTACTTTGTAAGAAGCACACATTTTCAATATAAAATCATGAAGGAAGAGGAATAAAGAACATAATTTTGAATTGTAGTGTCTGATAAACTTTGAACCTACACTTTTTCAGCCATGTGTGCCTGCATGCTTATATTTGACAACACCTACTGGACTATATTGTATATATTCAACTATCTGTGCATGCTAGTAGGAAGACATACCATCCTTTTCATCAACCCATGGGCATCCTTTTGAATAACATCGTTTTCAATTGAAGTAGCTCTTGATACTGAACATTTCCCGTAGCCTCTATCCCTTCTTAAGATAGATGGGCTTGAAGTTGATACAGATAAGGTAGTGAGTGGAATTTTCTCACCGTGATATATAATCTGATATGGAGATAATCGACAATAAGCAAATAAACACATAAATTAAGAGGAAGTTTTAATTCCTCAGAAAAGCCGAAACATCATTAGACAGATCCATAAATGAAAATATTTTTCTCGGAAACATTTACAATCCTTGAAACGAAAGGACAACATTTGTACATTTAAAAGTAGGAGAAATCACAGGAAACCATTTCGATATTAATCATTCTTAACTCTTCCCTTGCTTGGTTATGAAATTTTCAAGATCATTGCGCATTTGTGATGAATTAATGACATTCTACACTAGTCGAATTCAGCTTGGGAATCCAAACTTGGCAATTTTGATAGCATGGAAAAACCGGAAATTTGCCGTGTTAGTTGGAGTAAATTGATATGGGATGACTTCTAAGATGTTTTCCAAACTCGAACGACCATCGTGCTACTAATTATCTAAAGTTGCAAAGGTTTAAAGTTTGGTGTTGGGCCAAAGTTTGTTTCACTAAGTATATTTTCCAAAATAACTATCACTGGTAAGTTTACAACCATTGATTCTGGAAATTAAATCCTAAATAACCTTAATTAATCACATTCTGAAAAAACCTTCCCAGTAGCAAATAATTCCGCAACAAAATTCATAAACATGAGTAAACCCAGAAATTAGAATATCACAATCACTAACCCCAACCAAGCAATTATACATAACTGGAACAATTGGATCATCAATTAGGGTTTATAATTATAATTTCAAGCTTATAAATTTTCAGCAACTAGATAAAAATTAGTAGAAACTTTAAAAAACCAGAATTTAATCCATCAATTCTTCTCAGAATCGCAAGAAAGCAATAAACATTTGCACAAAATACACTCAATTAGCGCAACACAAAAATGATCATAAATATTACTATGAGTTAGATTAGAGTATTACCTTGTTTGGAAGTGGAAAAGTGGGAGATGAAGTCAGAAAATATGCCATTGACAAACAATAAGCACAATTGCAGAAACAATGTTTTTGATCTTTGATGTTGTATTTCTATTAAGGATAGAAATCGAAAGATGAATGCTGATAAAGTTGTAACCATGCAATAGTCAAGTGAACTTCGAACATCCAACATGTTTGTGGCGGAGATGTGGTGTAACAATGAAACGCACCAAAACCACGGGATACTCCATGGACCTAAACAATACTCCCTCCGTTTTAGAATAATCGCAACACTACTTCTTTCAAGTGGAGTTAATAATATATAATTGCAACATTTTTTTTCTAATTTAATAAGGATCCATTATTATTTTATTTCCACTAATTATATACCATGAGAAGTTTTTTCCCTTACTAATTGCATAAAAATTGTGCAAAAGTGTTTGTTTGACACTATGGAAATTAGTATTTTTTAAGAAATAACTTTCTATGCATTGAGAGTGAGAGATAGCTCAAGTGGTTAGAGCTCCCTCCCAGTTTCATGTGATCTTAATATCGATTCTCATCACTCGCCCTTGTGGCTCTTTAAACAACAAAAAAAAAACAAAAAAAAAAAAAAATCCTATGCATTGTAAACTGTAGGAATTCACTCAACTAGGGAAGGCTTGATGAGTATTTCCCATTACATTCCCCTTGGAAATTTCATTTCCTAGAAAATTTCGAACCAAACACAATATATTTTATATATTGCTTAGGAATTTTCATTTCTAAGAGAAATATCTTCCAACTAAACAAGCACTAATTATATTTGGCAAAAGCTAATGAACGCCTCGAGGGCGTTGGATAAGCTAACTAAAAGTAGACTTATTAAATTAAAATGAACATTAATTACACCGATCGACGCGTGATTTTGACATGTATTCCCAAATTAATACTACTTTAGGAAATATTTTAAATGTTTATCCAACGCTCCGGAAGCGTTCGTTAGCAAGATCCATTATATTTTATATTATAAAATTCATCCAATGATCCATAGTCCATACCTTATACATTTCCTAAAATTATGTGCAATCTCTACTGTTGCGATTATTGCGAAATGAATAGAACAATCTTTATGCGGTTATTTCATTTTGTCGAAGTCATGGGCCATTAAAAAAGTGGGCCAAATGGCCAACAGATGGACATTGATCTTAAGGAAAAGTCCATTATCCAAATTGGGCCCTACATCACGAGGCATGTTCGGGCAATTATATAAAAGCTAAATAGAGAGTAACAATCGGATAATAAAGTTTCCCTTTTCATTCCTTTTCTTTTTTTCTTTCTTTTTTTTTTTCCAATTTTTTTTAAATTTAAAAAAAAAAAAAAAAATTGCTTTTAGTAATTTGGACTTTCATGGCTGTACTCTGCAAAAGTTGGTGGATTCCTCTTTTATGTCGAGATTGACAATTATATTTGACACTACAACCTAACAAGAGTGAAACAAAGATAACCAACAACGATCAATTTTGCCAGCGTATTATTTGGACTTGTTTTGCCTCTCTTTTATGTATGGTACACTTTGTAGGGTAATTCAGGCAAACTCAGGTCCGACTTGTATATAGTTTGGTCGATTCTCAAGTATAACACTTCGCAAATATACTTCAATTGTAATAGGTAAAAGTTGATCCGACATGATAACTTGACAATGTAATGTGAGTTTATTTGCATTAGTATTAGAATTTGTCGATCTTTAATTCTTTATCTACACCGTAATAACTATCTGTATCTACACAGATCATATTTGTGTAGCAATAAGCAAAATTACTAAGATTATTTCTCTTTGGAAATTATCTTTTTGATCATCAGCATTACTTCAATCATATGTTCAACATGTGATTTAGGCCATATCACATCCAAAAATTTTGCCCTAAACATAGCCAAATGTTGATCATGAGCTCCTAATTATTGTTGCTATTTATATGTCACAAGATACTTGGAAGTGTATTGATAAACTGGCTATAGGCCAAAAAAAAAAAAAAAAAAAAAAAAAGAGGCTCGACTTAATTGTGGCTTGAATTAGATTGGTTGGCCCATATATAATACTAAATATTTCAAGCTAATCTATCCTCGGCTCAAGCTCGAAATTGTGGACTAGATTTGTTTAGGCACAACTTATTGATAAACTCTAATTTAGACACAATTCTCATATTTTTCTCATATTTTTCTATAGAGAACTATAAACAATATATTAAAAAAAGTTATTTGCTCTTTTTTCATTAATTGATTAACGTTACACGTCAATTGCAACCTCGTTAATTGAGAAATTAAATATCACAAATATTTACAAATTATATCTACATCATTGTCTTTGGGTTCTTTCCGCACAAAAAGCTGAAAATGAAAGCGATTTCTTTTGTCAAATTACTATTTAGTAGTGCAATTATCTTCTTTGTCTTTTTATTGATTCTTCTAGTAACTCCATGGCTCCACAACTCCATGTTCATAATTCATACACGAAGATATGGCAGCTTAGTACTTTAGTAGCGTAGAAGGCAGGATATTAGTCAAGCCTTCACATTTATGTTTTTGACGGTAAAATGATGAAAGATTCACCGACATCACATTCATTTCAAGTCTTCATTTATAGTGGACTAATGTATATGCGCTCCTCTTATTAGTTGCTTCAAGTTTGATTTTATACTTTTAAAATCGGGGAGAATAAATTACTGAAATAAGTGTAATTATCAGACTGATGTACCAATTGGTGCTTTAAAGACATTTAAGAATTTGTCATGCGATTACTTGTATTAGGTTTGATATTCAATTCCCTTTTTCATTTACCTTTCCAAACTAATTTATTTGGGCTAATTCTAGAGGTGAACATTGTTTTCTCTTTAGCTTAAATTTTCTGACCTAAAATTATTATTTTTTATTAAAATTTATTTTTACTAACTATCTATTCCCTTCGTTCCTTAGCTTAATGATAGTCCCTTATGAGCAATTTTCACGGGAATTAATAAACATAAATAAGTAGTTTAAGTACATTGGAAAGATAAATTTACACTAGGTATGCAAAAAAGTGGAGAGAGAAAGTAATAAAAGTACATAGAAAAACAAAATTTACATGAAAGTTAAATTTGCACAAATGTTGTTGCAAATTGGAGGGAATTTTGGTAAAAAATTAATATTAATGGTACTTGAAAAAAGCAAATGAGACTATCATTTTGGGACTTAAAATTGACCATAAAGAACTATCAATAAGAGACGGAGGGAATATTATATTTGTTTTTAATGATTATTGTAAACTAATGTTTCCTGCAATTTCTCTAAATAAGTTGAAGAAAAAAGAGGTCAAAGTGTACGTTACTTAAACAAATCATTATACTTTAAATACACGTAAAGTGCATTAATGATCAAGTTGTTGACAACATAAAACAGCCAAAAAAGTCTTGGAGCTCACCTCTCAACTAGATTAGTAAATGAGTTAGAGAAATCAACTTGTATTTATATGTTGGATTAAGGGATCGAGATTTTGATTGAAATTGTTTGTAAGTTGTTGTACTTAATATAAATATCATTTTTCGCAAATCACTATGCATGGCCCATTTGTGTAAAACTCATCCCTACTTGTTTCAATTTTTTTTAAAAAAATTATTTTAAGAAAAGATAGAGCGGACATGTTATTAAGGAAAATTTGTTAATTACAGTCATTTAAAGTTTGTATTTTGCAAATTACAGCTATTTTTTTTTTTTTTGCAAATTACAGTCCAAAAGTACTAATAAATTATAAATTGCAACCTAATTCATTTATTTCATCGATTTGCGTGTTAAAAACTATTTCATTAAGGTTTTAGGGGTCATTTTAACTCTTATGGGTCCAAAATGAGCTCGAAATTGACAAAAGATTATCATAAGGGCCTCGTTTTCACGGAAAAAAATAGTTGCATACAAATTGATACATTCTTGATACGCAAAACGAGGCACTTACGTTAATGGAATATTTTTTCGACACGCAAATCGATGAAAAATTGAATTGAGTTGCAATTTACAATTTATTAGTACTTTTGGGCTGCAATTTGTAATTTTTTTTTAAATGGCTGTAATTTATAAAATACAAACTTTAAACGGCAGCAATTAACAAATTTTCCTTTTATTAAAGAATAAGTGCTCTATCAAACATTCTAACTACGGAGTATAATATTTGGTTAGACCATTTTGATAGAGTATAAAACATAACCCTAGGCTTGACCACCAGCTTAACATATCCCCGAACTTCAACCATCAACTTAACATTTTGGTTGAGATGATATGGTCCTTTAACACATTTAGCATTTTAGAATCATGATTTTTATTTTTATTTTTTTGTTAAATTTATAATTACATAGTACGACAAATAAAATCTTATCAGCCCGCCTTTTACAAGAATTTATATTCATTAAATTAGATCAAGTTTCGCCAAAGTGATAAAACTTTAAGCAAATTACCTCTATATCACAAACAAATTTACTAGTATGCCCCACTTGCTACACCTATAATCAAACCTTACTCATACCAAAATGAAATTATTAGCCAATAATCATCTTCAATTCACCAACTCCTTTTAACACTTTCTCTCTCTTTATTCGTGCTGGTCATTAACTTCTCCTATAAAAAAATTCCAAGTCTCATTTATTTTACAAAGTCCAAGTCTTCCTTAGACTCTTGGTAATAGCCAATCTTCTTGCTTCCCAACTAACACATTTTCCAATACAATTCATTTTCCAATACAATTCAAAAACTCAGAAAAATTCAAATACCAAAAAACTCCATTTTTTCAGCCATAAAAAAACCTCATTCTTTACATCATCCCCTGTTTTTCATCATCACCAAAAACAAAAATTTAAAAATGGCGGTTGAATTATATACAGAAAGTCCTTCAAGTAGAGAAATGAGTCCTAGAATTTCATTCTCTCATGATCTTAAAAACTCAGAAATTGTTCCAATTGAACCCTTAAAATCATCTCTTCTTGATTACGATTTCGACTTTTGTGTCACTCGAAAAAGCTCTGATCAAGAACCTACATTAGCCGATGAATTATTTGCAAATGGGATAATTCTTCCAATTCAAATCAAGAAAAAAAATATACCCACAATTTTAAAATCAAAATCATTCTCTCCATCTTCTTCTTCATCATCTTCATCGTTGTATTCAGCATTCTTGCCACCATTGCCGCCGTCCTCTGTTTTAAACAACGGCGGCGAAAGCGAAAAGGAAACAGAGGAAAAACAGAGCAACAACAACAATTCTGGCAAATCAACATTTTGGACATTCAAAAGAAGCAAAAGTTTGAATTGTGGGAGTATTTATAAAAGAGGATTATGTCCTTTACCTCTTTTATCAAGAAGTAAATCAACTGGGTCTTCAACAAGTGCTAAAAGATCATTGATTTCGAAAGAAGAAAAACAGTGTTATTTGAAGAATTCAAGCTCCAGTAATCATCAAAAACCTCCATTGAAGAAGAATTTTGGTGGGTCTTCGTTTAATTCTGGTGTAATTCATGTAAGCCCTGTTCTTAATGTTCCAACTGGCAAAGTTTTTGGGTTGGGCTCTATTTTTTCTACTGGCAAAGATAGAAGCAAGAAGAAATAAATTTCAATCTTTAATTTTTTAATTTTATTTTTTATGATTAGTTGATTGAGTTGCTTGATATTTCTTCTAATTAGATTTTTAATTTATTTTTTTATTAAATTTAGCTGGTGTGATATGGTGGTTAAAATTAAATTATATAGCATGTGATTAGGTATTAGAAAGGGAGGGTAAAGAAATAGAGATTAGGGATGTGAAGATATCCCACATGGAATGGAGTAAAAGACAGGTAACTAATTTGCTTCTATTTTTGGATTTATATTTTTTTACCCTTTTTTTGGTTTGTTATATACTTATATTTATCTTTGTTAATAAAATGGGAGAAAATACAAGTACGAGTATTTGAATTTTTTTTTATCCTTTTGATTTGTTTTCTAACTTGGTCTTTTTTTTTTGTCATGTCTTGTTATTGTGGTACGAGACCTAAAAGGTTGGAGTAACAACTAACAAGTGCAACTACTGTATTTGTAAAGAGTTCTCTTGTGCTGCGGTTTGAAGTTGGTTGTGTAACAAATACTGTAAAATGCTTAAGTACGAGTGTGTTTTACTTGTGTATATAAAAAATTTCAGAGTAAGAGTAAGGCTGTGTTTAGTTCATATTAAGTTGAATTTTATTGATCTGATTTTCAAATTTGATCAAAATATACAAAGTATCAACTTAAATTAGTTGAACTGTAGGAACATAGCCTAACAATTATGAAATTTTGTAAACCTTCAATTATACAATTATGGGACTGAAAATGCATGTCCTGATGCACTCGATCTTACCATAAATGTATAAGAGTATATAATCGATCTCAAGCGTTGTCCAAGGAATTTATTTAGCTAGTTTGTTTAACACGTGAAAGATAGAAAATTATTCAATCTTGAAAGGCATAATATAGTGATCTTCAGTTTCACTTCTCACTTCTTTTAATCCGACTTTATTAGATAATGACTTGGGGAAAAATGAATTAGCATATATTGATTGTCTCTATCTTCCAACTCTTTCTATAATCGGTCCCTCATTACATCACATTATGCACAACACTGTGAAGAATGCGTGCTCCTTTGGGAAATGTCTATAATCTAACTATTCTAAATCTAACCAGCTATTTGAGCCTTCTCCCTCTTCTGACCTTACTCTGTTACGCATGCAACAAAAATAAATACAAGTACATCCATAAATCTAGACATGTAAAAGTCGGGTCGAGTTTAGTTCAACTTTTACTCATGTTAAATTATTATGATTGTACAAGTCAAAAAATGGATTGTGTTTCTGTCAAGTCAGATCAGGTCGGACAATATTTAAGGCTTCTATATACGGAGTATGTGTATTATAAGATTGTTTTAAGTCAATATAAGCTATATTTAATTATTTCGTATTAAACATGTATGAAAGGCGAGTGTGATCAATTTCATCCAGATCATATTCAATTACTATGCCAGTATACATGTTTTAGGTTTTTAGTACAGAAATTTTCAATTTAATACTATACGAAGTAGAAAATTTTTGGAATCAAATGGGAACAGTTTTATCTATCTATATTTTCTAGAAGTAAGTTGTAATGCAAAACAAGATAAAGCAATTCATTTTAAAACTTTTACAAAAGCAAATATTCAAAGTGAAGCATGGGCTTGTAACTTTCTTGGCAATATTCCTTCAGAAATTATTCTCATCTTACAAGAAGCTTAGCTTTAATTTGATTTTAGTGCACTTTTTTTTTTTTTTTTTTTATATATACCATTAAATATAATTTTCAGCAAAGAAAACCAATTATTCTTATAAAGTAAACCTTAAAACACCTAACATTATTCCTCTCAATAATAGAAATGAAAGTAATTATATTATTGTTCGATAATTAATTAAAGTGAGTTGTTGACTAAATTATTATTTACATACGAGTACAAGTAGAAGAATATTATTGGCGGTACGAAAAATATACTTCTGTAAAAGCTTGCCACATGACAGTGTGCAAAAATTGGTCTGAACTCTAAAGCAAAGCAATCCTCTGAACAATCAAAAGTCAACCAAATCATAAAATTCTATGCACCATACAAATTTGTAGACAGAGCAAAATGCATAAGTATTATATATTTTTATATATATATATATACTCCTTTTAATTTGTATCCTAAAGATTATTGTCCCATTCAATTTTTTTTATTAGGTCAAATTATAAAAACTCTTCATATAAAATCTCTGTAATCAATGAGATTTATTATAGTCACTTAGCTTGAGATTTTCTTTGTTTTAATTGTATGATAATTTTAAGTCTATGAAATTAGGACTATATAAATTCTAAGACATGTTTTAAAAACAATAAAATATTAAATAAAACAATCTTTAGAGAATAGAAGGAATACTCTAAACAGGTTACTCTATGTTATGCTCCATATTATTTGTTCCTTTAAGATTTTAACACGTTCGAATTGCAACTATTAGAAAATGAAGAGAGTATTTTCGAAGCGAAGGAAATCAAAAGATTTATCTTTTTTGAATGTCACATGGCATCTTTTCAAAAAAGAAAGGGGAGAAAAGTAGTGTACAAATACATATGAAATGAATGCAAAAGATAAATAAAAAAGAAAGGAGTACACGTTATAAGAATATGATTTCCACGACAAGAAGGAATGGCCGTAAAGATTTGTGGGATTGCCAACAAAAAATTGTTGTATCTTGGACCAGTTATTGTTTTATGGGTGCTATATGACAAGCTAAGTAAGGGAAACCATAGATAGGGGTTACATTCGATGTAATCGGAATATTTCTTTTTCCTAAGAAACAATTTGATACGGAGCACTAAAATAAGAAGACGTGTTTCACTTATTTAATACACAATGATCTTGTTTGGCAATTAATTGTTACAGAGTAGTTTGTTATACTTTGTGTTAATTGGATTTATTCATCATTTTCTTGTTAACTTTGACTACACTTACTAAGAAATTAAAATTTTAATATAGTGATGGTGGGTTAGCCTGATTTTTATGTAATTGAATTTATCTAAATTTTAAATTTTATTTTATTTTTGACGACGTGAGACTTTGGAAATCTAATATGAACTTTATTCAACCTTTTTTAATACACGATTTTTTTTTTCCCGAACTTATTTTATCTGAACAATTAAACTCGTATACTCGGAATGATTTTAAGATAAAGTGATGCTAAACAATACAGTATTCCTTACATTAATTTTGCCACCTAGTTGCTAATTCAGCTCAATCGGGTAATGGGCAAAAGATAAGTGGACTGCATTCAATCAGGCTTGAAAGGCTGCCATTTGAAGCATTAGTGGGCCTGGACTTTGTAACTCAATATTGGGCGACATTCTTCTTTATAATCAACCAAAGGAGTAAAGGACCCGTAAGATTGAAGGATGTCGAACAACTGAGCTTGAGTTCTTGACCCTTTCTTTATGTAGAGGTATGTAAAATTCAAAACGATTGAATTGGATTGGATTGGGTTTGGACTCAATTGAGAGATTTTGGTCCGATTTTGGGTTTTGGTTAGGTTTAACTTCTTTTTGTGTTCAAGTAAGCTGTAAAATTTGGATGTATACATCATTGACTTTTACATAGTGTTTGGAATATATGAAATACATTGTAACTTTTCCTAAGTGTCTAGGATCATATTATCTGTCCAAAATTGATGATCTAAAATGGATAATTTCATACAAGTTTTGGACCTATAAATAACCTTATTGTCACGGTACTAATACAATAACCTACAAATACTCAATTATGATTATGAGCCTTGGTTCCTTCCCCATGCACCGGAAAGAAACTTGTTACTCTCTTATTGAGGATGAAAATTCAAAGCTTAGAGACATTACAATGATCAATCATCAGTAGACCAAATTAAATTCCGTATGTAACATATGCTTCCTCATTTGTTAAATTATTACCCTTACAACTTTAAATTTGTTAACATACAATTCTATTCATTAACATGTAGTACTATTTGATTGTTTCTTTGATTGTTTCTTTGTAAGGGTAGACCTATTCATGTGCATAGTTGTGCACGTCGGTAAAAATAAAAAAAAAAAATTAATGTTCAGTTTATTTATTTATTTTTTAAAAAAAAATATCAAAGAGACCTGTTATTATAGATAACAAGTCTCTTTGATGCTGTCAGTGTTTTTTTTTTTAAATATCAAAGAGACCGGTTATCTTTGATGCTGCTATTGCATTTTCATGAGTATTGCGCTGCTTTATTTTATAATTAAAGAGAACGGTTATATTTAATAACCGTTCACTTAAGTTTTCTCAACCTTTTTTTTTTTTTTTTTTGCTTCTGTTTATATCTTATATGTGTGCAACCAATTTTAATATCTTTCCCAAAGCTTATTAATTAAGTAAAAAATCATAGTTAATGTAATAATTTTATAGTACCATTTGTTTGAAACATGTTATTTGTAGTACTTTGGACTTGTAAGATTGAATTTTTAAGTACTATTTGGTTGTAGTATGGAATTTTGTGTCCTATTTTTGGATTGAAATCAATTTGGTAAAATATAATATATATATATATATATATATATATATATATATATATATATATATATATATATATATATTCTATACGTTGTATAATTTTTGGATTGAAATTAATTATTAATAATATCTGGAAAAAAAATTTGTACTTTCACAAGTGATCAGTAATTGATGGTGACTCACCATCTCGGAAATCGTAGATCCGCCACTGTTTCTTTGTTTGTTTAAGATTACCGAAAACAAGGCAATTAGAGTAGCTAATAATAACAACGAACAAGGCTATCATAGGTTAATGGGAGTTATGAGAATGGTAGCATTAGTGCAATACCATTTCTAATTAAGTAATTAAAAATTGATAGTATTCATAAAACTCCATTATGTATGCCTAATTGCCTAGTGAATAATGATGTTACTTAGAATTTAGGAGTGACAGAGGCATTTGGGTTCATTGACTTAGGCAGTACAACCGACAACCGAAACATCGTTCCTTGGTTTGTTGGTAACGTGCCGGCTCTTATGCCAACTCACGTGACATTCTAAGCAAAACATCTCTACTCTCACCATAAGCTCACGCGCCATCTCTTTGGTTGACACGTAGCCATGTATCCACATCGGCCACATGCCAAAATTTTAAGAACAACCCCTTAAAAAAGGGCAAAAGCCAACAAGCGCCCCCGAGGCGTTAGATAAGATAACTAAAAGTGGAAATATTAAAGGAAAATTAACATTAATTACACCAATCGACGCGTAATTTTGTCATACATTCCGAACTTAATACAATTTTAGGTAATATTAAGTAGTTATCTAATGCCCCGGGACGTTTGTTAGCAAGATCCTTTTAAAGTTTGTCTCATTATTAATTTTACTA